GCTTGCCTTATAAAATCATTCTGACAATTTAAGATAAATTCTAGATAAAGTCATAAAATCACAAAGCTCTGTCAGCTGTTTAGTCATGAACAATGTCCAGTGTGAAACATTTGCTCTATAAGAAGCAGAGATGCACTGATACCAATCCTGGTATCAGGTATTGATCCAATATTGCACTTATTTACTTGACTCATGATTATAAAAATGTACAGTGCTGGGCTAATGAAGAAATGAGTTAAGCTGGCAGTGGATTAGGTTTTACACACACAGCCAGAGTTGTTGGTCACTTTAAACATTCCACCTTGGTATTTTCCCTCCAGGCATACACTGTGTGATTATAACATGTTTTTAAACACACAATCACAACCACTTCCCCAGTAAGAGTGGAGACACAAAGGCTAGCAAAATGAAGACAAAAAAGTCAAGTCATGTGCTGCCACAGCTTGTATATGGCAACTTTACTCTGTTTGAATAGAATTGCGAGGTATAAATGTTAATATGTTACAAACCCATTTCCAAATAGGTTGGGGTGCTGTGAAAAATGTAAATAAAACAAAATGCAATGATGTGCAAATCATCGTTCACCACTCTGTGAAAGACTGCACAATCAAATAGTGCAACAATTCAAGAATAACATTTCTCAAGTAAAAAAGCAAAGACGTCATTCACCAACTTCACGAGACGCTATGGGCTTCATTTCCCAAAACCGTCAGGAAGATCACGTGACTAGACAACTTCCTTCTGACTCAGAGACCTTAACGGACTCCATTGCCCACAGTACCTTGGGGGGTTACATGACTTCAGATAGGGCTATCGTGCTCCTATCAGCGCTCGCGTTCCCTGACTGTTTGCACCTGTGTGTTATGCGGCACTGCATTAAAAACAAACATGATTCTGTAGTGGAAATTACTGCATGGGCTCAGACACACTTCTGAAAACCACTGTCTGTGAAAACAGTTTGTCGCTGTATCCACAAATGCAAGTTAAAACTCTTAAATGCAGAGAACCAACCATATATAAACAGGATCCAGAAACACTGCCACCTTCTCTGGGCCTGAGCTCATTTAAAATGGACTGAGGGGAAGTGGAAAAGTGTCCTTTGGTCCAAAAAATCAACATTTGAAAATTATTTTGGAAATCATGGACACTGTGTCCTCCAGGCTGAAGACCACTCAGCTTGTTATCAGTGCACAGTTCAAAAACCAGTATTCATGATGGTGTAGGGGTGCATTAGTGCACATGGTATGGATGATGTGCACATCTTTGAAGGCACCGTTAATGCTGAACGATATATACATGCTTTGGCAACATATGCTACCATGCAGACAACGTCTTTTTCAGGGAAGGCCTTGCTTATTTCAGCAAGACAATGTCAAATCACATTCTGCATGTATTACAACAGCATGGCTTCATAGTAAAAGAGTCCAGGTGCTAAATTGGCCTGTCTGCAGTCCAGACCTGTCACCACTGTAAACATTTGTCACATTATGAGATGATTTTATTTTTTTCTGAAAAAAAAACTTACAATTTCTCAGTTTCAACATTTGAGATGTTGTCTTTGTAGTATTTTCCTTTAAAATATGGTTTACATGATTTGCATATCATTGCATTCTATTTATTTATTTATTTTTTTTTATTTTGCATACTGCACAGCATCCCAACTTTTTTGAAAATTAAGTTGTACTAAAAATTTAACACATACTTGGTTTAAAAAATGGTGAAAAATGGTGTTGATATATTCCTAATAAGAAGTTATTGAATAGCGCCTTCTGTAAAGGTCTGAATTTGAATTCTTTATATTACTGCAGGACTCAATAATATACAGAAACAAAGCTAATGAACAGTTACTATTTTTAATTTAGGCACATCTGTCATGTTTTTCTTTTTTTCTGCTGCAAGCATTTAAAATACACTAATGTCACTTCCGTGATTGATACTGACACCACAATTTGCACATTTGCACAAGAACTGTGTATTACTTTCTTTAAATGATATAATTCTTTTGTTTAAACAAAATAAATGACAAATTCTTATTTTTCAGAAATCTTCCTGTCTCATTTATATCATCACATGCATTTCCCTGTGAACTACACCAGGAAAATTAGGTCATTTAAAGGTATAAATATGCACCTGGGAAAAAACTTACTGTGGGAGAGTGCAAGAGAGAGTAAGGCATTAAATGTGTGATCGCCTTAAATGTCTGTAGAAAAGGCAAATCTTATGCCTGATCGGTGTATGTTGGCATGTATGTTATCATAAAATCAATATCCTCATTCCATCCCGCCTCCCCCGTTCGCACAAAATGTTATTTAATGAAAATGGACTTTCCATCCACATACAAACGAGTTTGGTTACATAGCTTACAGAGTGCCAAACAGCACCACAGAGTTCAGAGAGTTTATACTGTACTGTGGAAGAACAGATAGAGAGAGTGGGACAGCTATGCTTTACCAAGTGCTTTTATTTTATAAGAGTGGTAAACAGCTAATGTTTGTCGCACAAGAGACATCATCTGAAGGCAGATATCTTCCATTTCTTCAGTGTGTATTACTGTACTGTATCAAACATATTCAGAGTCAGAGTGAAGCGTCTCCACTCAGCACAACCTGACCTTATATGACCCTCAACACTCAGACTGTAGAATCTTTTGCCTTTTATTTAAATCAGGCAAAAGTAAAAGTTTGCTCTAATTCAGATTTAGAACAACTGCCATCACATGAAAGAGATCAGAAGTTAAGATAAGAAAAACCAGCAGACATTAAAAACCAGAAAAAAGGTTAGAGAGTCAAAACAAACCAGATTAAATCAAAGACAAGAGAGAACTGAAGACAAGACAAAACAGTCACATCAGATAACGTCAGCTATTTTTTAAAAGTATAACTATATAAATTCTGAGTTCCAGTCAGGAAACGAGTCCTGTTTAGCTGAACTTTAAAAGCTAGTTACTTAATTTATTGAATTGTAAATTTTCCTTTAATGGGTAGTGAAATGAGTTTAGTGAGTAAACTTCCACCACCTCATCACGAAAACTTTGACTGAACTGTATAGAAAGCTGTGCTGTACCGGATTGGAAACTGATCATTTTAAAGCCATATTTGAAGATATCTCCTTGTACATGACATCACAGCTGATTATGCTTGTTTGTGACTATTAGTTGTGTCCTGTCAAGCTCTGTTTATAAATGTGCAGGCAGTGCTCCTGCAGCCCTTTTTGAGTTACCATTTTCATGTCCAGATTGAACGTTAACTCCAGGTCCGCAGAGGTGTTGAGGTGGGTTTGCTTACTCAGCCGATAGTTGCAGTGGCTTCATCATTTTCATGAGGGACACACAGTTGGGATGATGATCTCTCTTTACTGCTGCGCTGGTGTTGCATGTGCCAGGTTAAAGACATGGTTGACATGTGAATGAGCTCATGCATATTAACAAACAATGCTCAGTGAAGGTCTGAAGTAGGGCTCATACCAAAATGCATTATAGACCACTTTAAGATATTGTTTTCATAATATATTTTGTTGGGAGTAGGCTTTACACACAAAAATATATCCATAATAATATTTTATGAAAAAAAAAATCTTATATATATCCATTAATTTATTCATTAATAGGACAGTGATATTTTGTGTGTAAAGCCTACTCCCAACAAAATATATTATGAAAAAAATATCTTAAAAAAGATAGAAGAGCATCTGTGAGGTCAGACACTGGTGTTGGATGAGAGGTCCTGGCTCACAATCTCCATTCTAGTTCATCCCAAAGATGTTTGAGGTCAGGGCTCTGTGCAGACCAGTCAAGTTCTACCACACTAAACTCACCCGGCCATGCCTTTACGGACCTTGCTTTGTGCACTGGGGCTCAGTCATGCTGGAACAGAAAAAGACCTTCCTCAAACTGTTCCCACAAAGGTGTAAGCATACAGCTGTCCAAAATGTCTTGGTCTGCTGAAGTAGTAAGATTTCCCTTCACTGGAACTAAGGGGCCTAGATTAACCTCTGAAGAAAACAGTCCCATAGCATTATCCCTCCTCCGCCAAACTTTACAGTTGGCACAATGCAGACAGGCAGATAACACCATCCCGGCATACGTCTTTGTAACAATCCTTGCAAAAGCCTTTTTGAGGTGCTCGATTGGTGCTAGATCTCAGAAATGTCATGAGCTGTTTTGCCACTGTGTATAAAAGGTGCTACATAAGTAAACATGCCTTGCCTTACTAACCATTTAAGAAATATGTAAGGTGTGTCAAACAAGTCACGGTGACTGTCTTTGCTATAGATAACAGGATAAGATCATGCCTAGCACTAAAAAAGAAAGTATTCAAATTATTTTTATGAAAAAAAAAACATGCTAAGTCTTTAGTATACTTGGTTTAAACATTTAATCTTTTATTTACCCACCATATTTTAAGAGTTGATACTTTAACTTTAAATATTTTCATTTTTTAATAAAGTATTTTGAATTAGTAGTACTTTCAGTTCAGTTCAGTTTCTCTGTACCTTTTCATAAAATGAAATATCCTGGTATATACAGTGTACATGCATTCATTTCACATTGTAGTGTTTGTTGATATTGTTTTTGAAGGTGATCTTGCTTTATTGCTCTAATAATGACTGTATTTAACCTCTGATTCCTCCTGTTTCTGTTCTACTGAACGATGACACCACTAGACATTTCTCCTACATATAAAGCACTGAGTGAATAATGTTTTTCTAATATTCTGCACTTTAACCTCACAGTGACTGTTTCATTTCACATTCAATGAGCTGCAGCACAGAAACATAGGGCGAGTTAGAGCAAAACAAACCCTAAAACCAGTTGGATCACAACTCTGGAGCTGGAAACTCTGCTTTAATCTAAATCTCTCTGCTTCACTATGAGCTGAAGTTTTTTTCAGTTTAGATATCCACCTCCTCTGCACATGAATCCTGAATCCTGATTGGTCAAGTTTCTGCTCTATACAAACTCCCTCCACTAGTGCAGAGCGCTGTTTGTAGTGAGAAGCTGAGATAGCAGGAGTTTCTGCTGCTTATTTCTGGTTCCAGGCTGCAGTGAGAGATGGAGCACATCATAAAGTTCTCAATTTTCCTCGCATTTATAGTTCAGCTGGCTTCAGCAGGTCAGTTCAGTGGTCTTCCGATCAGTTTAAAGCTTGATTCTGATAGGAGAAGTGTTTAAGTATCATATTCAGGGGTGATTTCATGCACGGACTTACCTGGGCTGAGGTCCAGGGGTCTTGAGTAATTCAGGGCCTTTAACTGGCTGTTTCTTTTTTTTTTGTGTGTATTTAAGTGAGATTGGTTTATTCCCCCTTCCTGTATTGATAACAGGCATACCCAGTCAAATGGGGAAATAATATTTATTAAGTCGACTTTCTAAGATAATGAAATTTGATTTGTTTGAGTTGAAGCTGTTACTGTGTCATGGCCAATTAAACTGTTATGCTCTCTGCCTTATTGCCTCAGCCCTCCAGTCTGCACAGCAACTGTTTCTATCCATCGTTACGTCAAGTCTTTAGTTTGTTATTGGTATGCCAGTGTTTGAAGTTTAGACTCCAGCTGCAGTTAAAACATGCAAAGTGAAAACATGAAAAGTGAGATTCCTTCCCATAGAGTGTTTCTACCCTTGTTGTTGTCAGCTTTCTGCAGATTTGGTACTTTTTTACTCCAAAATCTGAAAATGTTTTTGTCAAAATATCAAATCAACCATCTAATGTTACTTCAAAGGAAAGACATGAATGGCCAGTCATTATGCCTACTGTGGCAGTATGCTTTACCTACATTGATTCGGCTAAGGTTTTCAAGTTTTTGCTGTTTTTCCTTGTCTCTCAGCTGTCTGATTTTTTCTCAGTCATGTTCTTTGGGTCTGCGCATTTAGAAGTTGGGTATACTAAGTTGGCCTACCCACTTTTTCACATGCCTGCCATGTATTGTATTTCTGCCCACTGGATCAAATGATCAAATTTGGTTTGGTTTTGGTTCTGGGTTTAAGTTTAGTGAGGCTGAAACCTACTTGCTGGTTTCTTCCTTAAATGTTTTGTTCTACCCTAAATGATGTAGCAGTCACAGGCACCAGAATGCAACTATGGGACCATTTAAGGTGGAATGGAAAGTTCAAAAAAGAATCTGTGGGATAAGAAGCTAATGGAAAATGATGAATAGTAGTACTGGAAGTCGGTGACTGGTGCTGGCAGTGTGTGTATCTAGACCCATAGAGACCACTACCATCTGTAGCTCCAGGGCCCATGAGCAGATGAAAGCACCCCTGATTGTATTAAAACGAGTAAAATATTGAAGCGTCAAGTAATTGATTAAATCTAATTAGGCTTTAGATCAGGTCAAGTTGATGAATGCAGTCAGAGGCATGGGGAGGCATTTTAAGTTGGGGGTACTGAACTTTTAAGCAGTGTATTATTTGCCCTGTTTCATTTGAATCTGGATAATTCGCAACAAACAGAATGTGTCATGATGTGTTGTAATGTCACAAGAGATGACAATATATACATACAACTGACACAAGTACCTAACACATCAAACTGCTGAGGCTCACCCTGATTTCTCTGCTAGTTCTTTCTTTGTATGAACTTGATGCAAATGAGCTGAGTGGTAACCAGTCTGATTGCCGATGTGTAGCAGTAAACCACTGCCACATCCACTGTCACCAATTCCTGATTCAACACTCAAATGGTTAATATAAGACAATGTATTCAAAGTGTGGGACATTACTTTTCTGCTTTGTCCATAAGAACTGGCTTATAAGTCTCAACAGACGTTCCCTCTCAGTCTGCTTGTGTTTTAGTGGTGCACCCCAAAGCGGTGAACATTCGGAGAGGAAAGAGATTCAGCTTCCTTTAATTAAAATACATTGTTCAAATAAACAGTGCAGCCAGGGATGGATTATTAATCAGGCAAGTGGATCAGTACTCAGGGGCCTCAGTGGGCCTCAGACCACTGGCTCTATAGGGACAGTCCACTGCAGATGTAAAAAGTAGATGAAGGAATAACCCTTTCATGTCATGACTAAATAAATGCCCATGCTATGCAGTGCTATCAATGAATATTCAAAATAGAAACATGTAATTGAAAAAAAAAAAACAGATGTTAGTCATGGAAATTAATATTTGATTGTGGAAAAAAAAATCAGCAGTAACACAGTTGTCTGCGTCACAAATTCTTGCATGGGCCAGGGCTGCTGCACTGAATGCACTGCATGATGGACAGGAATAACACAACATCACTTTCATCATTGAAAATGAAATGTAGGTCCAGCTGAAACAAGCAAATAATTCAACAAAAACCGTGGTAATGACGGACAGTTCACAACCTGTTTGGGCCGCAGAAAGAGTGATCTGGACTCTGAGCAGTCTAAAAGCCCCTGGGGAGCAGTGCTTAAAGGTCAGCAGACAGCAAAATTGTGGAACCTCGAGATGAAGTTATATGCAAGCCATGCAAGCTGCAGTTAGCCTAGCATTTTAGCACTAGCAGCTGAGGGCACACCTCGAGAATTTGCACCCAAATGAGCGTGGCCTGGCGTATGGAATCCTATGGGGTATTGTTATGTAAGTAGTGAGGTCTTGTTGTATTGGTTTTCCCTCTTATGGATGTAATGCACAAAAATGGGTAATCCAATGGTGTAAACACATGTTTTTGTTTATTTAATCAAACATTATTGTTGGCTAATTTTGATGGCCCTAATACCCTGCCACTATATTTGAAGTAATTGAAAGCCCCTAACACCAAACATGTGCAGAATGTAACCATAGGACATGATAAGCTATTGCACATTATTTGTAAATTAGTCATTTTGGTTACATTACATTTTTGTCCAGTGCTGTCCAAAGTGCATTTAAACAGACATGAGTGGATTGTCAAAGGGCCCGTACACAACATTTTCCCCTGTAATTAAAATTTTCCTTGAGGTCTAGTTATGATGTTGTTTTTATAACTATGCCCTTAAGACAATGCAATATATAAGCAAATGCATATATAAGCAAATGTGCTGGTCTTTTGTGACATCACTGAAACAATAAATTAAAAACTGTTTTTACGGTTTAGTTTCTAGGGACTGGGATGTGAATGGTATGTTTTCTAACTGTAACAGAGCTTACATACTAAATCAAATTCTTTCATTACAAAAAAAAAAAAATAGCCCTATTTTCAGGGGAAGGGGGGCCTCCAAAGACACCCCATGAAACCATGATCCATCAGCTAATGTAGATTTTAGATTTAAATTTAAAGCTGCTTCACCCACATTGCGCACGCTTCTGCATGATCTCACGCTTCGTGGCTGAGCTGTTGTTGCTCCTTCCTTTTCACAATAATAGCACTTACAGTTGACCAGGGCAACGTTCTTGATTTTATACACATGTTAGCAAAGGGTGTGGATGAAACACCTGACCTCAAAGATTAGGAGGAGTGTCCACATACTTTTGACCATATAGTGTATATCGAGACTTTAGATCAGTGAAGTGATGATCCTTAACATCAGTACCCCTCTTGTCACTGGGGTGGTACCCTCAAGGCTATATCTCAGTACCTTTAGTCAAAGAACATAATTGGACAATAATCCACTGAAATGATATTTTCTAAGTTGTATTGACTCCCACACACCCCGTCTCATCTCCAGGCTTTTTATTTTATTGTTCTGTTTTAAAACATTAGGTTATGAAAAGGCACAAATTTGTACTTTTCCACTGGGAAAACATTTAAGGCACACAATTGGACCTCAAAACTAAAAAAAAATGTACCTGCACGGCACCTTTATTTCTAGCAGTGCCATGATGTGTATTTATTGTTCTGATGGCCTGGTTATTTATTGATCAGTTCAGAAACAGCAGTTCTCTGGTTGCAGTTATCTGAGAAATATTTTAAATTTTGGTGTCTTTATCGTTACAGCCACCCACTCTCTGGACTACTACTTCACTGGAGTCACATCAGGAATCAGCTTCTCAGAGTTCACTGCTGTTGGACACGTGGATGGACTTCAATTTGCGTATTACGATAGCAACAGCAAGAAAGTGATTCTAACAGCAGATTGGATAAAGAACTACAATGATGCACAGCACTGGAACTTGATGACGCAGCTTGGGCAGGGTCATGAGGCCACATTCAAATTTGAGCTGCCTTATCTAATGAAGCTTTTCAATCAGACTGGAGGTGAGCTTAAACACATGCAGAGCTTTAATCACTCAACGCTGTTAACTGCATGTCACTGTGGTTCCTACCTGCTGTTCTTCTTGTAATACTTAGAAGAATTAGCCCCGTAAAACTGCTCAGACAAGGTGCTATTTAAACATTCAGTCATTCAGGAAAACAATTCAAATGATTCAAATATTCCAACATTATGGTAATTGGTGAGTGATAATGACAGTTTGTTTACATGCATCATTCTACTGCCTTTTAGTTTTCTTCAACAGCTCATAGGCTCATACTAAAGTGCCAAAAGTGAGCAAATGTTTAGTGTTTAACACTTTCAGATCCAATTTATGTTAAACATAAAATTTATAATCATGCTCTACATCCATCTTAAATGCCAATATAAATGCTAATCAATCAAAAATGTATGTTTATTACTATGTTATAGTTATCTCTGTGTATATGCATGTGTTTGTGCAACTCACATTAGTATCTAACGGAAGCATTTTCCCAGGGTCCTATTTCCAAGATTTCCAAGACCATATGTTCCCAGAGCCCTATATTGGCAGGGTCCTATATTCCCAAGATCATATGTCCCCAGCGCTATTGACAGGGTCCTATATTCCTAAGACCTTGCAAGACTTAACCATTGAGCAAATGATGTTGATTTGACCAGTAATTTATGATTAGTTTTCTAAGAAATCATAGTTCCTAAGCAATTCTCTATGCAAGGTAGTAGCTGTTGTTTAGTGAATAGTGAAATAATCACTTTTAATCATTAGTTCACTATTACCAATTGAATAATTGACTAGTAGTTCTTGGTAATTAATAGTAGTTATTTAAGTGTTAATGCAGCACTACTCATTCATCCCTGCTTAGTTCCTGTTTAGTTGCTTATTAACTGCGAAACAGTATTGTAAAGTGTTACCAATCAATGCCTGAATGAATAAATATTGATTATATTTATGCAATCATTTTGGAGTCGTATATTCTGGAGTTAAATCAACCACATTAGAGAGCTTTTGAGCATAAAGCATTAAGGTCTTGCCATAGCATCTCAATTTGGTTCGAGGCTAGGCCACTCCAAAATGTTGATTTTGTTTCTCTTGACCCATTCAGAGATGGACTTGCTCTTGTGCGTTGAATAGATGGATAGATTTTCCTGCAGAGTTTCATACATTATACTGCTGGATTTTCTGATAGAGAGCAGAATGAATTGTTCTTTTAATTATGGCAAGTCATCCAAGCCCTAAAGCAGCAAAACATCCCCTCAGCATTAGACTACCACCACCATGTTTCATCATTGGTATGATGTTCTTATTTAAGAATGCTGTGTTGACTTTATGCCAGGTGTAACAGGACCCCTCCACTTTTGATAGTCCATGGAACCTTATTCCACAGGGCTTGGAGGTGATCAAGGTGTTTTTGGTAAATATGGGACAAGCCTTTATGCTCCTTTTAGTTAGTAGTTGCCTTGCACCTCTCCCATGGATACCATTTTTGACCGTTCTCTTTTTAAAGGTGAACTTGTGTACACTGACCTGATCTGAGGTCAGTGATACCTGCAGTTCCTTAGATGATCTAGGAAGATCCACCACTGTTCCATGTTTTCTCCTTTTGTAGATAATAGCACTCACTGTGGTTCGCTGAAGTCCCAGAGCCTCAGGAATCAACCAAACTGACAATTTAAAATCTGTATTTAGTGTTTACACAGGTTAGTCTGTAGTATAGTAGTGTCCACAGTGATTCACAAAGCAAGCCCAGTCTTGCGTTGATCACTGGCTCTTGGAGGTGATAGACAGCTGATGAAGTACCGGTCTATAGGTAGGGGTCAACTGAACCATTATGTGTCCTGATCAGCCCAATAGGAGCATATAACAAGTCCAGTGTGCCATTATCTCTGGATATGGTTATATTTCCCATATTGTGAAAAGTATGTAAATATGGTGGAGTGGGATCCATGATTTAAATCTCCAGAAAATGCATGGAATGCATTAGGGTGGCGTTATATGATTGCTAACCACTGAATGCACTGCTTCATAGTGGCTGCAGAATCAACAAGTGGGGCATACACAGCCAAAACAATTGTGTATAAACATTTCGGTATATGTGCAATGACTGCAGTCTTACAGCCAGACGTTTCAAATGCCAGTTCCAAACTTATGCTTTACAATATTACACAACCCCGCAATGTGAGAATCTGATCAGACCTTAACTGAATAGCTCAACTGCAGCACTCAGTAGATTTAACTGTCAAAATCCTCTTTCCACTGTACAGCAAATGGTTCTCAGGGCTGTACTGTGCCATTCTGTGCTGGAGTGGAATTGTGAGACCGGTTATGGTTTCTTTTTCCATCTGCTGCTGCTGAATTAGAACCAGGAAATACTAAAGAAAACTACACAAGGAGTGGCTAACTGCTAACAGCCTAAGACACACACATACACACACACACTTCAAAACATGTTAGACTCTGTCACCTCAACACCAGGAGGGAGGAATTGGCTAGCATTAGCTTAGTTAGGAGGATACAGATCCACCACAGATTTATTCTTGACTTTCTGATCTTCTGACACCAACCACTGGACTTTGCTTCTTCAAAGTAAACATCTAGACTTGCGTTAGTAAAGCTTCTGATGGTCAGAACTGAACCTGGTAGCATGCTAGCTCAGATAATACAAACCTACTCCTCTTGTCTGGTTAGCAACGCTGTGTAACATGTATTAATTGTTGTTATATTGAGGCTTTGACATTTGTCGAATGGCACATTCTGTCATATATTTGGCATTTGTGTGAGCAAACTGAACTTATTTGATTGTTTCCACATTTAAAATAACACAGGATTGTAGTGACACATTACTGACATAAATGTGAAACCAATCAGGGAATAGCTACATAATCCCACTGAACAGTTCTGTGGCTCTGAACATGGTTAGCTAATCGTGTCAACAAAACCACGCTGACCAGTTGTTAAGCGTTCCTTGTGGACCCTTAGGGGTCAGAGCTCATCAGCCCTACTGTGGAAAAGAGGCCATAGAAAACTATGATCTGCGGTTAGAGCATGCACCAGCTCGGTTATGAACATCAGTTAGCTGTTACAGGATGGCAGCTGGGCAATTAAGAGCCATTTATAATGTTTATTTTGTGGTGTTGAAGGAGAAGGAACAAAGGAAGGCATACTTTTCTGCTCAGAGATTACTATTTATTGGAGCCTACAGAAAATGGAAGCAATCAGGGGGGTGGGCGGTTGGGTGGGGTTTTCACCATGAGCCACGGGCTTCCACTCTGTAGTGACCACCCTCGAAACGCAAAACAACCGACACTCCAGACACATAACATAACCAAAGCACACCCACAAATTAAATTACGAACAACAACAACAGGAAACAATAAACAGTTCTCTTTTAAGGGAGCATGCGCCCCATCCGGCCACTGAGGTGCCCTTGAGCAAGACACCTAACCCCCAGTTGCTCCCCGGGCACCATGGATTGGGCTGCCCACAGCTCTGGACAAGTGCGCTCACTGCCCCCTAGTGTGTGTGTGTTCACAGGAGTGTATGTGGTGTTTCAATGCACGGATGAGTAAAACGCGGAGGTGAAATTTCCCCATTGTGGGACTAATAAGGGTCACTTAATCTAATCAAATCTTTAATCTATGAGCCTTTTTGCATGGCTCTCTGCACGCCAGTTCTCGAAAGGCAATGTGCACTTTGGCAGACACCGCAATATTTTAATAAAAAGAAAATCACAAAAGTAAAATAGTAAATAAATGCAATTTTTTATTGTCCTAATGATGTTTAAATGAGGGGTGAGAGGAAGAAGACTCATATGTGATGTGCTCATATTTGTCTCTGCAGGGATTCACACATGGCAGAGGATGTTCGGCTGTAAACTGCATGATGATGGAACCAAGACAGGATACAGCCAATACGGTTACGATGGAGAAGACTTCATCAGTCTGGATCTGAGCACTGCCACCTGGACTGCAGCTAACGATAAAGCTGTTATTATAAAACAGGAATGGGAGAGTACAACTAGAGCCAAAACCCAGAAGAACTTTCTGGAGACCGAATGCATTGAGAGGTTACAAACGTATGTGGATTATGGCAGAGCCACTCTGGAGGGGAAAGGTAGTGTGATCTGTTTTTGTTACTGTGCTGGTCTTAGCTTTGCTTCGGCCCTGTGCAAAACCTGTCTTGCCCTTAACCTCAACTTAAACCACGTCCTCCACCAACACACCCCTTAATTTCCTTTATGACAATCATCTGCTGCTAATCGTAGATTTACCTATTTGAATAAGTAGAAAAAAATCTTAGATTTCAAATTTAACTTTTCTACATTTTTTGAGGCAAATGATGTCATCAAAAGACAGCTGGTGAGTCCACTCAAACACTCCTGGGACATTCTGATATCTTTACAAGTATGGCTAAATTAGCTACAGTTACTGAGTAATTATGACAACAACCAGTTACCACAATGTAAAGCTTAGCTCATAATCTCACAATTTCAAACGTTGTCAACCATTTAACAGTAGTCTAACATTAGTAAACTAATAATAAGCTCTCAAATTAGTCTGATACAACTCTATATAGAGCACTTCTTAGGTAAGAAAGCTTTCAAACATTTTTAATCACTTGCACATTTTAATGGGACAGTATTTATATTTTCAGGAGACTTGCTTTCAGTTTCTTAAAGGAATCTCCAGGGATGTGTTTCCACACTTCCAACGTTCAGTCTTAGAAGTTAGTTGTATTTTCAGCTTATGGAATCCAGATAATTTAGACCCATCAGTCCATAAAACCCTATTTCCACATCTCAGATGTCCAGTTTTAGTGTTCTATTGCATTTCCTTTTCTCAGTAAGAGCTTCTTGACAGGTACACATCCTTTCAGACCCCTAGCAGTGAATTGTCTTCACACAGTGTAAGGATGGACAGAAACACCTATAGATTTTATTTTCTCCTCTCTTTCAAAGATGACAGCTTTAACCTAGTCTACCAAGTTATGCCTATTTTTATAGCTTTAAGAATTTTTTATATTAGTTCAACATATGTAGATGAGGACTTTAAACTGGATACAAAGTGGGGCAGGTAACCAGTGTAACTGATATAGAATTAGGGTGATATGAGATTATTTTTTTAAGTGAGAGAGTAGTCTAGCAGCTGAGTTTTGTAAATACTGAAGAGGGCGGATAGTTTTGTAAGGAACACCAATGAGAAGGTGTTGTTTCTTAAGTAGCGATGATGTGAAGATGATGAAGTCTCCGCTGACACTGCATTACTTGTATAAGATGTTTATTACAAAGTAAAACAGTATCAAATCAAGCACTATAAAGTACCTGAGAGGGGATCTGTGCCAATTCTGAAGTGTCCCCTCCAGAACAGAATATCCAGCTGCTTATATAGGGTGCTTGTTGTTGAAAAAGTGAACTGAACATATGGCCCTTTTTAAATTGATCTCATCTATGTGGAACTAAGAGAGAGACCTTTGGACCAGGGGGCCTTTGGACCGGGGGGGGGCCTTAACGTAAATATTCCAAATGCTGCAAGACAGATAATACAGAGGACTTCAAACCTCAACTTATACTGGAAGTTTTAGAGTGTTTTCGCCTTCTTTTATAAAACTATTCTTCTAAATACACCTCAAAGGGTGTTGCAGTAGTCTAAGTGGGAACATATGAAGTCATGGACCAGAGTTTCTGTGTCTTTCATGGGGATCAGGGGGTGAAGATGAGCAATATTGCAGAGGTGGAAAAAAGCTGTTTGACCAAAGCCCTAATATAAGGTTCGAATGAAAGGACAGGTTCAAAAAGTACACCTAGGTTACAAACTACCGTTGAAGATCTTACAGTCGCACCATCAAATTAAATGGGAAGTTAGGGCCAATAAGTAGAATTTCAGTTTTATCAGTGTTTAGTTTTAGAAAGTTACTCTGCATCAAATGTCTGCGGTCTTGAATACAAGATATTAGGGCAGGGGATGGCAGGTTAGTGGTGGTGTTGGTGCAGACGTAGATCTGTATATTATTGGCATAACAATGAAAATGATGACCATGATGGCAGATGATCTTACTGAGGGGTAAAATATAGATGATATAGAAGTGGGCCAAGGACCAATCTCTGGGGGACACCTTGTGTAACAGGACTGATAGCAGTGATATGCTTAGCAAGGGCAACAAAGTGAAATCTATTAGTAAAATAGGATCTGAACCATGCAACGGCAGTGGCAGTAATGCCAATAGCTGAAAGGTGGGAGATGAATATGTCATGGTCAATGGTGTCAAATGCAGCCCTTATATCTAAGAGGAGCAGAATATTGATACCATCAGTATCAGTACACAGAAGGAGATCATTAAGAACCTGTAGAAGTGCAGTCTCAGCACTATGCATTGTACGAAAGCCAGATTGGAAAGGTTCAGATCATTATCTGTCAAGACAGCTGCAATTGAGATGCTACAAACCTTTCTAACAGTCTAGCTAAAAAGGCAGATTAGAAATTGGGAGCTCAAGAGTGGCTGTATTCAGACCAGGTTTCTTAAGAATGGGAGTGATAACAGGTTTTATAGGCAGTAGGGACATAACCTGAAGCAAGAGATGTATTAAAGAAATGACAGATGGAGATAACTGAGAGACACTTCTTGAGAGGAGGGATGGGGGCAGGATGAAGCTGGCAAGTAGAAGCAATAGATTTGGCAAAAAAGATCCAGAAATGCGAGTATGTTCAACAGGGTGGAAAACAGGGAGGGGGCTGACAGCTGAGTTAAGAGGGATGTTACTATAGACAGATGTAGAGGAGGTTGAGGGGAACTGTTGATTTTACTCATTTTGTCTGTGAAAAATCTATGAAAGATTTCCCATTGGTCAACAGTGCAGGGAGGGGTAGCTAGGCATCCCATGAACCCTGAGAATGTGTTATAATAACAGCTCCACTATGTGGACAAAAACTTGGGCAGTTGCATAAACTTGCATGCCTCAGAGAAGCAGTCAACAAGCATCAGGATGATTGTGTTGCCCTTAGAAGGAGGCAGACCTGTGATGAAGTCCAGGGAAGTCAGCCAATAACAGGACAGAGTATCTGGCTTGCCGTTCTTAGAAACTGGCCTATAGGAAGTCAGGAAGCTTAGCCTCTTCAATGTAGGTCACATTCTTGTGGTCGGTCCAGATCACAAAAGGGTATTTAGCTTCCTCAAGCCAGTGCTTCCATTTCTCCAGGGCAAGCTTCGTAACCCCATCCCCACTGTCATAATTGCATTCAGTTGGGGTGAAATGGTGCAAATTGAATGCACAAGTGTGAAGCTTCTTAGTCAGGCCTAGCTACTGGAAGAGTACCACTCCCATGCTGATATCCAAGGCATTTACCTTGATGACAAATGGCCAAAAATGCTTTCAAGGAGATTAAGGCATATCTAACATCCCCCGATCCTCCAATTGTCAGATTAGTGGTCGAATGAAACAGTCCTGGGATCTTCTGGGTGAGGGCAGCGAGGAGGACTGCCATGGAACTAAAGTTCCACACAAAGTGTTGGAAGAAGTTGGTTGATCCCCAGGAAATGTTGGTCAAGCCAGAGGGAGGAAGGGCAGGGCCAATCCACCACAGCTTTGATCTTAGCAGGGTCCATGCAGATAGTGCCTTTGGACACCACAAGGCCTAAAAAAAGAACACCATTGAGACATGGGACACTGACTTTTCCAGCTTAATGTACAGGCAGTTCTTTAGCAATAGCCCAGTATGCTCCTCGGGAGGACTGGCTATGAACAAGTATGTCGTCAATGTAAAAATATGCATAGTGACCCGGGGTCTCCTTAAGTACTTAATAAATGAAGTGCTGGAACATCGCTGGGGCATTCAAGGATCATTACCAACACTTTCTTCCATTCATCCCCCTACCTGATGCATATCAAGTTGTAGGCACTGCACAAGTCCAGCTTAGTGAATATGGTGGCTTGATGCAGTACCTCAAATGTTATCAATATGAGAGTGCTTCCTAGATGTACTCATCCAAGGCGCCACATTCAGGGGGCAAGAACGCTAGCAGCCATCCGCGAGGTAGTGTAGTTCCCAGGAGTAGGTCGAGGGCGGAATCGTATGCCCTGTGGGGTGGACGGACCTGGGCCTTTTCCTTACTAAAGACCTCGTTGAGGTCTCAGTAGTCTTTAGAAACTCCCACCGGTTCCTTGGGGGTAAATGCTCTCTACAGGGGACCCAGGACTGCACAGACAATGGCCATTACACAGAGGCCCCCACACAAACACAGACCATGTGGACCACTCTTTGTGAGTTTTGCTGTTCCAACCAGAGAAACACCAATACTAGTTTTAAGCAGCCAATGTGACATCAAGAAAACTCCCTGCTGCCCCTGAATCAATAAAGGCCTTCAGGGTGGTGTGTTAGCAGGGGTCCCATGACAGGATGACTTTCAGATACGTACGCTGAAGTGGGGAAGAAAACATAGGCCCCTCACCAGTCCCCCCTATCCTGATGAGCAACTGCTGCTGCTACATCGTCTTGTCTCAAAAGATAAAGATCCACGTCCATGGCCTCATGCTAGGTAGCGACCTAACTGGAAAGGAGCGCCGGGGGAATGGGAGGCAGGAGTGCAGGAACCGCCTCTCTGGTCCAGGTCTCATTGACAATTATTATTATTAAGCCGGATGCATATGTCATAGAGACCTCTAACATGGATGGCAGCACTTGGTTGGCTAGTTCAATCCTCCTGTTCAGCCCCTGCTGGAAAATAGCCATAAGTGCCTCCTCATTCCAGCTACTCTCAGTGGCCAGGGTACGAAATTTGATGGCATAATCTGTCACTGAGTGGGGACAGAGAAGTGGGCCATAAGAAAGAGTCAACAGGCATGGCACAGCTTCTCTACCCCAGACCGGGTTATAGTTTGCTGCATGGCCTTCGCTTGTGGTGCAATCAGGGAAGTTCTGCTCCCACAGAGAGGTGGCCCAAGTAAGTGCCCTACCAGTCAATAGAGAATTTTTTTTCCTGTGGCTCTCTTTTTCTCTTTTCATTTGGCCATTTCTTGCTTAAGCTCTCTTATTCTCTGTTTAGTATTTTTGGAGCTGTTTCTCTTTTTAGGCACTTTGCTGCCATTGCCCTCTGCTGCCTTTGCCCTCTGCCAGCAGCTGGTGGCACAGGCCAGGCGTGTGCTAGAGGGATGATGGAAAAAAGGGCATAAGCTGGGTGGAAGCAATCTTAGATGATGGACCTCAGGCGGCATTGGGATGCATTAAATGTCCTGAGGTTGTGGGAGGTCAGTGCCTATGATTTGCAGATGGAGCTGCACAGACCCAGGCCACTCAGCTTTAACACCAGTTTACAAGGAATAACTGTGTTAAATGCAGGGCTGTAGTCAATAAACAGCATTCTGGTGTAAATTTTTTCAGGTGTATCAGAGCAGTGTGCAAAGTGAGTTAGATGGTATCATCCACTGAACGCTTGAGTTGATATCCAGACTGAAACAGGTCTAGAGTGGAGGCGATATTAGTGTTTATGAATAGAATGACAATTTTTTCCAGAGACTTTATCAACACAGATGTCACCGTGATGGGTCAGTAGTCCTTTAAGCCAGTGACTGGAGTTTTCTTTGGCAGCAAAACTATAGTAGTTTATTTGAAGCAGACAGGGGTGGCGCCTGAAGATAGAGATTAGTTGAAAACAATGTCTCTCTCTCTCTGTCTCTGTCTCTCTCTCTCTCCAGTTCCTCCTGAGGTGTCTCTGTTCCAGAAGGATTCTTCTTCTCGAGTAGTGTGTCTTGCTACAGGTTTCTTCCTCAAAGCAATGATGATCTCCTGGCAGAAGAATGGAGAGGATCTGCATGAGGACGTGGAGCTCAGAGAGACGCTACCCAACCTGGATGACACCTTCCAGAAGAGGAGCATTCTGACTGTCTCACCTGAGGAGCTGGACAAACACAACTACACCTGCATCATTCAGCACAGCAGTCTGGAGAAAGAGATAGTGTTACATGTGATGAATCACAGAGGTAAGAGAAATAAGATGTATATTCAGTTTTGAAAGTCATTGATGAGCCCAGATATAATAATAATGGTCTTTAACCAATTTAGTTTCAGCTGGAGGCTTGATTGGTATCATCATTTGTGCAGTAGTGACTGTTCTCCTCGTTATCATGGCAGTTTTTGTGTGGAATAAAAAGCCTGGTAAGTGAAAGAAATAAACACAGAAATAAACACGTCCCATCACTACTGGATTACTAACTTACTGTGGATTACAACTATGTTCAAACAATCTAGTGAACGTAGACAAGCTACTAATCTGAATGTGCTAATGTAGGTCTGCTAAGTGATACTTCTGTAGCACTTTTGTAACATGCTGGTCTTCTATAGGTTTTTTAGGTCCGGATCATCCAGATGGCCTGAGCTACTAGGGGGGGCCCCAATCAGCAATTCAGACAATTATAACAATAAATCTTCAATTATGAAAAAAATCTAAGCAGCTGTTTTGACTTGCAGTGCAAATTTTACAAGCAGAACAACAAATTTTCAACCTTATGGCCAATCGTAATCTTGACGCTCTCAACATCATCCCTAACCATCGGGCTAATATTCCTGTGAATGTACTTTGAATTTGAAGGGGATCTGTAAAAGTGAGACCTGATACATCGACAGAGTAGGAGATGCTTTATAAGCGTTGTATTGATTTTTCAGTTTGTGTTCAACTGTTCTCTTGTTATTGGGTCCGTATTGTGCTATGGTTTTGTTTTTACCACTACAGGGTGTTGGAACATGCATAGCTGTACTACTGTCAGTAATAGCCTAAAATATGAGTATCATGCTGTTGCAGGACACAGTTCGCTTGGAAAAAGGATTGCTTGTCAACATACGATTGTCTTTGTCTAACCAGGGCAGGTCAATTTTTTTTTTTCTGAACTATGAATAATAACAAATAAATGACAAACAGTTTAACTTTAGATTAAACTATCATAATTAACTGAAATATTTAAGTGAAGAGGTTCATTTAGAAGCCAAAAACTATGCAACTTGTTTAGAAAATTCAAAAGCACTCAAAAACAAATATGTATGTGTATATACAAAGCATATATATGAAAGTGGCTACATCCCTAACACCACGGTTAGTGTGCTGCCATGGTGGTGCTGCACAGCCCTCGCGTAATCCCCGATCACCAAACATGGTAGTCAGACAGGGGTCCACCAAACATTGGTGCACACAGGCCGAAAACATGATCTGGGTCTAAGCTTTTACTGCACTTTTTTGCATAGGTATACACAATACTCCTTTCATATTATAATGTAATTTTGTGTAAATTTCTGTTATTTCGATGTAGTTCTGCATCCTACTTCACCAGTTTATCAGCCTGCCCGCAAGTGTATGGAATTGTCCTGTTTGTGTAAGTGAGCGTTTATGAATCTTACATTATATTAAAAACAAACTGTTTAGTTTTTTGTTTAATAGAATCTTTGTCCACCAACTTGTACAGTCTTTGCTAAGAAGCCTACTGAACCTAGATAATAAGTAATTTAACAACAACAACAATAATATTAGTAATAATAATAATAATAATAATAATAATAATAAATCAATACAGATTGTACACTAATGGTCATTTTGTATTTGTATTTTTAGGACAGAGATGGAAAAGGAGATGATAAATGATTCTGAACTGATTCTGAGTGAAGAGATCAGTCAACCTGTCCAGGGTGTATCCTGCCTTCCACTCAATGACTGCTGGGATAAGCTCCAGCCCCCGCCACGACCCAGGATAAGCGGTGACTACCGACCGGTAGAAAATGTTTGTGTCTGTGTGTGAGATCAGTCAAAGAGTGTTTACATTACACAAACATCTTTCTTCATTAACTTTTAATTTGGAAACCTTTTTTTTGCTTCATTTTGCTGCTTTTCTGTCCTTCTACTTTCACTATGATGACCATGGGGAAAGTAGCATAGAAGAAGCCCCAGACTCTTATTCTGTAGTATCTCACAACTTTTATTACAATTTGATATTTATTGAATTAAATATGTTGTATTTGTTTTCTATCCCTAAACTAGCCTTATACAGCCATTCTGAAACTCACCCCTGCACTGTAATATACTTAGTTTAGACCGGACTTGGGAGCATGACACAATGATTCATTTTCTCTAACAATATTCAAGTTTTTTCATAAAACTTTTAATGTTATTTAAAGAGCTAGTTATTTAAGAGCCAAATACAATCATAAAATCCTAAAGCTCTGTCAGCTGTTTAGTCATTAACAATGTTCAGTGTAAAACATTTGTTGTATAAGTACAGGCGCACTGATACTGATACTGGTATCAGGTATTGGCCTGATACAGCACTTATTTACTCGACTCATGATCATAAAAATGCACTGATATCAACATCTGATATCACTGATAATGATGGTAATGTGATGTAAGCATTGTCTATGGTGCTGCCTGATGAACAAATGCCTCAAGCTGGCAGTGGACAAGGGTCTATTTACACAGTGAAGAACTAGCGACTCCGTGGCAGCTGGACACAAAGTTGTCACTTCAAACATTCCTTTAAACATTCCCTCCAGGCGTACAACTTTAGTTCATTTTTAAACACACACAATCACATCCACTGAATCGAATTATGAAAAATAAACATTAATACATTAGATATTGTAAAATTGACATTGTAAAATGGGCTGTACAGAGTCTGGTTTTATGTTTAGTGCACAGTATGTATATATATATATATATATATATATATATATATATATATATATATATATATATATATTTTGTATGCGTTGTGGTTAAGCTGTGACTCCTTCTGTAAAAACCTAAATTTGAAGCCTGATTTAGTATATTACTGAAAGACTCAGTCTGTTAGCAGTCTGCTGACGTTCCGTTGTAAAAAAACTATACTCAAGTAGTGCTGAAATAGTTATATACTGAAGTTGTGTTATTTTAGCACCACTAGTTTGTATTCAGGGATGCTGGTAGTCGGTTTCGGCCCCTGGGAAATTCCATGCATGAGACCCCTGTTTTAAAATGTGCCAGTTTTTCATCATAACCCTGTTTTGTTATAGTTCTATGGTTCTTAATATGTATTGCCTAAGTATGTAAACTTAAATAAAGTTGTAAATTCTTTTTTTTACTGTTTGTATTGATTTGTGCTCTGGATTGATCCACATACTGATCATTGGTAGACAGAGTCTGAGGTGGAACAGTGAGTGACCAAACTTTATTGTGTTAAAATTACGGCGACTGGAAGCTCTTTTTCAGGACTGTGCTAAAAAATATTAGAGCATTAGAACACAGACTAGACCATTTAATCAAGAAACAACAGCGCATAACAAAAACATATCATGGAAGATGCAGTGATTTATTGTTTATTTCTATCAGTTTCAAAATTAGGAACCAAAATCAATCTATTTCTAGGGTTTAAATTTGGACTCTGACCAGCCCAAAACAATCATTGGAAACCATTAGTATTCTGGGCTTGGCCCTTTTTTTTGCACAGGAGTGTACCTCCAAGGCACCTGGCACTAAAACCTACGGCACACAAAACTAGCTTGTTGATTGACATTCTTTGTCATTCTTTTAAACCTATGGTCAGTCTTGTGTCCCTTTATACGAGTATGAATATCATATCATAATCAGAAAAAAACAGTCATATGTCCTGGTCCTAGTGACTGGCCACTTTTTACCTAACTTATCTTACCTTTACTTATCCTATTGTTGGCAATACATTCTGAGACTTTGTCTTCTTTAAAACCCCTTAAAGGTTAAGAATCTGCCAGCAGATCCACTTAAGGATAACTCAGTTAGCATTATAATCCTGGAATTTTAAAAGGTTAACTGATTAAAATCTGCACTCAGTAATTTGAACATGTGGTTGTCTACATTGGTGATGGATCAGAATTGGAGTTTTCTATGTGCTGTACTGTTTTCTATTACTGTATACAAGAAGCTCCCATGCATATGGTTAATTCTGAAACATGAATATTATTGTTTTTAAGGGTTATTTTGAGAGAAAATATTTGAGAGCTCAAAGGTTATAAATTGCTGTTCAGGACAGCACTAGTGTCATGTATGCTTGTGGCATGTGTTCCTCGGGTCCTGATGACAGCCATGCAGAAAGGTGGGGCCCGAACACCGAGCGGTGACGAACCCCGGCAAGGACGGCGAGGAGAGAGCCACGAGTGAGTGGGAAACAGCGCCAAATCCCGACCACCGCCAGGGACGCGAGTAATGGCAGGAGGAGGGCGTCAGCCGTGAGAGAGGGGATGGGGACGATGATGATTGCCATGAGAGGCGCGAAGGCAGGAAGCAAGTCCCGAGGTCCGTCGCCTGGGCCCCACCCCCTGTTCCGCAGCGTGGCCGCTTCACTCCAAAAGAGAGAGAGGGACGAGCAACAGCAACAGAAGAAGAGACTGAATGAAGAACTGAAAAGCCCAGTGAAGAAAAGGACGGAAAAGTCTCGGTAGAAGCCACTGAAAAGTGGGCAGGGTAGGATTGGTTTCGTTTGTGTTGTTGTATTTTTGGTGTGTGATTAAAAATGGCTGCTGCAAACCTGAATCCTGTCTCCAGCATCCTCCTTGTGCCCAGGGTAGTGCATGACGTGCTACAATGCTTTTACATTTTCCATAAAGATAATCCATCTGTGACTTATTATTTTTGTAGCCAGATATTTCACTACATTTTACCAACAACATCGTTGAACTCTGCAACTGTTTAAATAAGTGTTTATTAGCCCTGCTTCAGGAGACCTACAGCTCCACATTATCTCAACTATTCCTTACATTAAAACACCTGATCCAGCTCATCAACTGAGTATCGAGCCCTTCATGAGCTGAATCAGGTTTGTTGGATCACAAAGTCATTAATTCTGTGTTAATGCTGTGGGGTTGAGGGAAATAGTGCAGGACTGACCTAAACTGACCTGAAGAGTGTAGAAATACCACTGAGTACTGTCGGCTATGACTTACTGCTGCTTTGAGGTAACTGACAGTAATGTTTAATCACTAAAATAAAGTCAACTTGTCATGGTTAGCTGTGAGATCTGGGGGGTTATGAAGGCTGTTCTGTCGGTCTTTTGCTGCTTCTACCCACAGAATGTCTGTGCTTCCTATCTCAGCACACTAGTTTACAGAATATTGCTGTTCCAAATCAAGTCTTCAAATTAATACACTGAACTAATTTTAGATATTTAAGCAATTTAGTCCCCCAGTTTAGCCTACAGGACACTGCTAGGCTACCTGCTCTAATGAGAATACAGTCCAGTTACTGAGTATATAAAACATAGACCTGTTAAAAAGAGTCATTTAATGATAACTAGTGGTGCAGCCTGCACTGTAGTGAGGGGTATGATTGGGCCTAGCAGGCCAACCAACCCAATTTTGTCATTGGCTATGTTTACATGCAAAGTTCAAAACATAAACCTTTTCTCTTCTGCAGACCAGTTCTGCTCTTGCATGTTGGACATTATAATCTTTCGCTATGATGAAAACACATGCACAGAACATATTTAAACTTCCGAATGGGCATGTAATTGGATACAGGTGTTATTCTTCTATTAAACTAATTATTTACAGGATTACACACCTTGTTCAATTGGATAGAAATTGCATTCTTTATTTCCTCAATCAGACTTGTCTATTCCGATTGAGGTGTATACAAGGACGTATTCTATTTGGATTGAGCTAGTAGTCAGATTATTAATGGATTATCAGTAGTGTTTACTGCATATAAACATGGCTACTGTCTCACCTAAAATGACCCAAATGCTAAAATTTCATTTCTAATTAAAGTTTAATGGATAATAAACCAAAAATTTGACCAAACAAAATCTCAGTTTAATAAATAACTATAACTGTGAGGGAGTTTTCCTCCCTCCTGAACCACCAAAGCAATCATGAACCAAACATGCATACATTCATTTTTATTACTAAATGAAAACAACAGAGTCATAATGATGTTGATAGAGGCAACAAAACTGAGTCCAGATGATGTCAAGACTCAGACAAGGTCAAGTCCAAATGATGACCGAAACAAGGCCAACCTTACCCCGAGCTGAAGGCAAGGCCAAGACCAAGACAAACTGACCTTACCCTAAGACCAAGGTAAGGCCAGGAACAAGACAAAACTGACCTCTCCCCAAGATTGACACAAGACCGAGATCTAGACAAGACAGAGAGTAAGACAAGACCAATCTTACCCCGTTACCAAGACTAGGCCAGGACCAAGACAAGACCAACCTTAGCCTGAGATTGAGACAAGGCTGAGACCAAGACAAGACCAACCTTACCCTGAAATCGAGACAAGGCCGAGCCCAAGACAATACTTAAACCAAGACAAGACTTACCTTACCCAACTATAGATGGAACAATGTACAAACATGGACAGGGCTGGACTGGGGCCATTATTATTCAGACCTGAAAATGAATAAACATACTGAATTCAGTTTGTAGTAGTTTATTTCCACCACAACTGTACTAGCCATGTACCCATATTTAATAAAAGTTTAATCATCATCTTCATTCTCTAACCCCATATTTTTTATTATATATTTATTATTTATTTTTATTATAACTATATATTATTTTCATTCAGCATCATAAGATAACCCGTTCAGAATAAGAGCTGAAGAACAAACACTCTGTAAATTCAGTTTATAAGGCAGTTCTAAAATCTGACTGGCTGAGCTATTACAACACTCAATATACACACTTACGATGTCATACATCAACTGAATTCTGTATGAAAGCAAAACACCCTACCAAAACTATTTCTTCCGGGCATCGTCAGTTAACATTACAGGAGTGTGGTACTCATGAACGTATGAGTGAGAAGGTAGCTACTGCTTTGGTTAACTGAATAGCTAAAAACTGCTACCTGAATAACATAGTAGAAGATGACGGACTGAGAGAAACCATTCAAATTGCATCAGGAGACACCTCTTATAATCTACCCTCGAGACGGCCCATCATTTCAAGAATGCACACTTTGTATAAAAGCGAGAGGTCACAAAGGATGAACATGCTTGAGCAAGCAAAGTGTGCCGCTCTCACAGGGTGACCACTGAGCTTTGGTGAGCGATGACAACTACTCACTGCACACTTCACTGATAAAGAAAGGAATCTGCCGTTGTTTCTGTGAGTAAAACAGAAACATGAAAGTACGCAGAGGCATGTGCTGATGATTTTCTGGGTGTGCACAATGAATGGAACAACACAGAAAAGTTAACTACACTTGGCACTGGCAGTGCTTGTAATATGGTTGCAGCAGAGAGACTGCTACCATTTGAACACTTGCCCTGCACGGCCCACAGTCTGCAACGGTCACAGTTTCACTTCGCTAAATGTCGCAAAATTGCCGGACACTTTGATTGACACTTTGTTTAAAACATCTTGCGCTTTCCGTTGCAGATATGTGACTGAACTACTCGGAGGAGCGCGTTATGTCTCTTGTCCAGTGGTGTTGCCAGCCTTATGCCACTTCTTCAGAGTTATGGAGCCCTCAGACGATGATCCAGTCTATGTAGTGAGGTTCAAGACAGTCTTTACCACAGAGCTAGCTAAACGGGACACAACCAACCTCACATGGCTGAAGATTGCTACTGCACTTGATCCCAGGTTTAAGGATCTGAAGTGTCTTCCCTAAGATGCAGGGCTTCACTACACAACTTGATGATGGCAGAGATGCCTGCACAACAACCACCTGCAGAGGCGGAGGAGGATGTCTGCTTTCTTGCTGTGGGTTCTTCTGATACGGATATAAATGAAGAGGAAGAGTCTATAGAACAATGTCTGGACTGCTACAAAGCAGAGCCCAAAATGGATATGAAGGGGTGTCCACTACAGTGGTTGTCAAAGAGAGAAGGAGCACATACAAGGCTGGCACCCATTGCATGCAAATACCTGTCAACCCCTGCAACCACAGTGCCTTGTGAGAGGTTGTTTTCACTCTCAGGCCACATCATCCAAAAGAAGAGAGCTGCTTTGTCCCCTGATAGTGTAAATAAACTGGTCTGTCTCAGTAACTGCCTGAATGTAAAGGAGGAGTAAGAAGCTGAATCCTTACTACAAAGAGAATAAGATTCAACAAGCTGAACCTTAAGGAGAATCTTTCCTAGTTCCTTTTTCATATTTTGCATTGATAATGTATGTGAAACTTTAGAATGTGAAACTTGTTCTGATTGTAACAAAGCTACTATAATAGACACAGTTGATATTTCAAAGGAGAAAGTATAGTTTTACAGTACAAACAGTTTTTCAACAGTAATGAGAATAATTTTGATGTTGATATATCTTTAAATCAAATATATGAATAATATGGGGAAAAGACATTTTATGTTATAAAATGCTTAGTATGATGTCTAAGTATGATGCCTATAAATATACATAGTAGCATATAGTTGTAGTGATCATAATTAATCAGCTCTTTGATTAATGCGTAAAGGCAGCATGTGTTAGTATGAGTGTGTGCATATCTATACTTTCATATCATAGCTTGAATTTTTCCAACCACAAACCTCATCCTCAGCTATTCTCACTAACTCGATGCATCAAAACCACTGCAGCTTAACACATCTTAACTTTTTTCATTACCACATTACCACAGATAAACATCAGCCTAGCTGGATACACGAGAATTAAAAAAATGGTGTAATTGATTTTTAGTCTCTTATATAATCTAACAAAATATCTAACAAAACATCCTTTTGTCTATGTCATTATTATTTCTTAATTCTTTTACATAATAGTAAGCGGCAAACTGTCCAAACACGTCTCCACGCTTCAGACGGGAACTCCACCAATTTTTCAAAATTTCTGTGTAATTTGGTGTGGTGTGAAATTCTTCATTCTAGAGAAACTTACTGATCAGAGGTGATAGGAACCAGACGTCCACCTCTAAAAGCTATTAGAAAGTTATTACATGAAAAGGTTACATACATGCTGCCTTATGTCCGAAACATTGTTTTATGATAGGTTTGTGATAAAGTTTTGGCTTAAAATGTATCTTAAAATCTATTTATTTTAATTCATTAATAATGGAGAGGCACATGCTAGGCATTGCAAGTCAAAATAGTCCCCAAAGAAAATGCATTTTTTAAGATTTATGATTATTTTACCATGATCAATATTCCATATAAAACTCAGAAGATACATGTAGACAGTGGTTTCCATGCTTGCCCTACACAGACT